TTATCATTGTATTTGTTACTGGGTATAGCCCATTACTTTGTATATATATTTGCTAAATGAATACAGATCGATTCATGGGAAAGTAAACACTATTAGGCATGAGATTAAAAGTGATCAAGGGTTTAGATATCTTATTACGTTTCTCACCATAATTTTTCTTCTCACAAAATCCTTCGCCTAGTGGGACCCACATCCAATATAAACCAAAACTCTATTAACTAGCCCTCCCCGTGACCCTTTTCCGCATCGCCCTTTCTCTGTTCTTGTTCAAAGTCCGACGCTTCCTCCGTTCTTTTCATCCTCACCACCACTTCCACAACTCACCCTCCGCCTCCATGTGTCTCACAATCGACTCCTTGGTGGTTTCGAGCATTCTCATTTAGCATCTAGCCGCCATCGATCGTAGCCCTAAGGGGCCGTTTCTCAAACGCTTATTCGGGTAAACGCTTACCAAGTCACATTAACTTACCGGATGAATATAGTAAGGATCAAGAATCTTATCCGGTAAGAGTAAGGCAGGGACCAAGAGTCTTACCCGGTAAGTGAAGACGATGACTCTTATGATGGTTAACGCTTACCGGGTAAACTGTTGCATATGATGCGTTTTTGTTGACTAAAATTTTATCTGGTAAGTAAGTGATAGTAATAAATATTACTGGTAAGCTTTTACCCTATAAGTGTTTGGTAAACGGCCCTAAATCATAAGTTTTTCATCTCTTCAATTGAGGTTTTTTATTTTTTGTTTAAGCAATTATAATTATTACTTATAATGTAAAAAAGTTTTAGGTCGAATATAGGTTTCCATAAACAGTAATAAATATTATATTACTTTTTTATTTAAATTAATTTAAAATAATTTTTTAAACATGTTGGATGTTTAAAAAAAGCATGTCAATTTTATATATAAATTTTTATTCTTGTCTTTACTTTTACCGTGTAAGATTCTTAGTTCTTGTTATATTCATCCGATAAAATAAAGTGACTTGGTAAGCGTTTAGTATACAAAACCTAAATCTTTATAAAAAGAACTTGTTATAAAAACCGATCTATCAATTATTAGAATGTATGAAACCGGTCCGACCGCCAATTTAATTATCAAGAACATTGTTTCGTTGAGAAAATTGACACTCACACTTCCACTGTTGCTACCAAATCAAACCTCCAATCTCTGTTGAAGCAAACTCAGATTTCCATATATCAGTAATAGAACGCATTTCCATTTCATTTTCGATCTTGTTGGAGGTAGATTTGGATTTTTAAGCTCAGTCTCTCTACAATTACAAGTAGCAATCCAGATGAGATTCGCAGGACCAGATTTGAAGAAACCCTAGATCAATGCATAGATTTGTGTTAGTGACAGACTCTTAACGATGGCGAAGCAGTCGACGGGATTATCGACACTCTGCTTCCACAAGAAGCGGTGGCTGTTACTACTCTTAGCTATGCTGTCTATCTCCACCGCCGTTGCGTTTATTATTAGGGCCGCGCATGATTCTTCTTGTGATCGTCAACATTTTGATGCCCCTGGGCTCCAATCGACGGAAAAGCCGAAGGAGACGGCGCCGCCTCTGATCGGAGTAACCAGCCCCCTCAGTTTCATGAAGTCCAAACGTGTTCTTCTTGTCTCCCATGAACTATCTCTTTCTGGTAATTAAGTTCTCACACTTTCTGTTTAATTTCTGCTGTTATTTACTTGAAATACTACCTACATTATAACAAGTATAACGAATATGATAATACTGCTATTAAATTTCTGATAAGATCCATATCCAATTTGAGTATAAAATGCACCAATCGACTAGGATATGGGATTGTTTCGATAAAAAAGCACTAGATTTCTCATAAGAATCATAATGTAGATCTTTGTTCCAAGAGTGGAGGATTTAGGGTTTAGGGTATGGCGCTCTATACCGTCTAGAGTCAACCTATGGCATTTCAAGATCAACTTGCTCATTATAGTTATTAAATCATACAACTCGTTGAGTCGATTCAATGCCGAATCAGGACCATCAATATCAGGTTTTTGCATTATATAACAGGAATAGGTGCTATTGATGCAATAGCGATTTCTGATAGTTATTGAGCTAGTGAGTTATTGATTCAAAGCTGGTTTGCAAATAAGTTGAGATCTTGATGGGGCCGTCATAGAAAATTTCCACCTGTTATCTCTTGCTCTGAAATTAAAATGTAAAAAGGGGGTTGGTTCTATACATCATCCAACTTGTGTGCGTTATTAATATTTATTCAATTGCAAGGAGCTAACATTTGCATCTAAAGGTGATTGTAGAGGCTTCACTACCAGGCTATAGATTTGGAGTTTTGTACCTTTCAAACCTAGAGTAAGTCTCACCAAACAAAGGAATGGGATTTGGTCAAAGGAATTAATCATTCCAATTCCTTCGAATTTCATAACCAAACAACACCTTAGATTGGGAGAAATGCAACTATGCATGCTCTCTTCTACATCTTGCCTTTTTTCTCATACTTGGGAAGATAAAGTTCTCCTACAAGGTCCTCCTATATTTTCATTTTCAATTGCTTGAAGTTGTATAAGTTATGTTTTTATTTTCTTTTGAAAAAAGATGTTAATTTACATATCCCTCCGCCACTTGAAAAATATTGGTTCCATGTGTTGATCTAGGGTAACACCATGTGCATGTAAATGAATCTGTCAGACTACTTGTGAAACCTCCAAAATGCTCTTCCATCATGACGAGATATGTGAAATTATTCTGAATGATCTATTGGCTTTCAAATAGAAGTAAATGCTTGTGGACAAAAAAGATCTCCGCAAGTTGGTGAGGATAGACAGGCCATTAGTTTCAGAGTCTGCCACTAGTACTACGCATTGTGAAAAAGAATTTGTTGCAAAAAAGCTTCTTTCTTTTCTTTCTAAGAGGAACTGAAACAAAGATAAATGTAAAAAGCAGAAAATACTTGCCGAGATCGATTTTTGTTTCATTTCTTCTTCAATTTGTGATTCCTGCTAAGGCATTTTTTATAGTTACCTCCCTTCATTTTAATTTTCCAGGTGGTCCATTGCTTTTGATGGAACTAGCATTTTTATTACGTGGTGTTGGTGCAGAAGTTTGTTGGATAACAAACCAAAAACCATCCGGAACGGATGAGGTGATATACAATTTGGAGAACAAGATGTTGGACCGTGGAGTGCAGGTGGATGTTGTTTTCAAGTGGTTATGAAATTTGTGATACGATTTGTCAATATTTTCTTAAATTAACTAACTTGAATCTAGTTGTTGTTTTTCACATCTATATTAGTTTAGTTGTTTTATGATGCTACTATTGGTTCTCAACTGGCTCTTCGGAATTTAACATGCCACCTTACTTTTCTCGCTCGCCACCTAATTTTCTCAAGTATCTTTTAGGTCTTCTCTGCTAAGGGTCAAGAAGCTATAGATACGGCCCTAAAAGCTGATTTGGTAGTATTAAACACTGCTGTTGCTGGAAAATGGCTGGATGCTGTGCTGAACAAAGATGTTCCGCGGGTTCTGCCAAAGGTGTTATGGTGGATTCATGAAATGCGAGGCCATTACTTCAAATTGGATTATGTTAAGCACTTGCCTTTTGTTGCTGGGTCTATGATTGATTCCCATGTAACAGCTGAATATTGGGAGAACAGGACTCAAGAGCGCTTAAAGTACGTTTCTTCTTTCTTTCTTTCTTTCACACAACTCAAGAGTCTATCTGTTGGTACTCTAATCAATGTTGTTAAAGTATATATAGTATGTAGGCAAATACTCACACACCCTCTTCACCTTTGGTGAGGTTTCCCACATACCGCTAGGCCAATTTCCCTTTGGTACTCTAGTTGATGTTCTTAGCTACAAAAGTGTGAAAAATATACCACTTGACATGGGGAATGAAACGGATATTCTTGGGACATTCGATATACACAGCATTCTTGATATCAAATAGGCGTGGGGTTTTCTGTATGCTAGATCTCAAGCTCGAGTATCTCAAACAGAATAACCTTTTACAAGGCTCTCTAGTTTTGTTTAGAGATGTTTATTAATACAATATAATACGGTTATCATCATGTTTACACTTAACACACAACATAAGAAAAACATAATGATCTGGACAGTGCCTTTTATTATTATATTTTATGACTCAATGTCAATGTCCAAATTTACAATCATCACATGATTGTTTTCGGGGATACACTAATAATGAAGTGGAGGGTTGCCGAGAGAGTGTTGTGTGACAAGAAAGTCCCATTAAGACTGAAGTGCATTTTCTATAAGGTGGCCATCAAAACGAGCTATGATGCATGGGTCTGAGTGTTGGGTGATGAGAAAGGCTCATGGTGGGAGTTGAAAGTTGCAAAAATGATGATGTTATGGTAGATCTGTGGTCAGACTGGAGACTGGAGAGGATACCAAATGAGGTCTTTCGATCAGAGTTAGGAGTTGCACTTATCACGGATCAACTGAGAGATGGTAGACTGCGTTGTTTTTAGGCACGTTCAAAGAAGGCAAATGATTACACTGGTGAGGGAGGTGGAGAGCGTAATGGTCAAGGTGATGAGGAGAGGCGGATTGAGGAGGACGTCGGATGAGTAGCGGAGACTGGACATGATAGAGGTCCCGGAGACACCATATAAGGGTGGCAGTTTATTGGTAAGGACTAGTAACTATTAGAAAGGGGTATGGATAGAGAACTGACACATAGGTTAGTACTTAGTGGTGACTGTCCTATAATAGCTATAGAGAGGGCCCTTTGCCCGGTAGTTTAGGAATGCATCATCTTAGAATCTTCAAAATTTTCAAACTCTTAGCTTCTCTCAAAGCATTTAAAAAAATTATACAAACTCTTAGCTTCTCTCAAACTTTTCTAAAAACCGTCACAATCCCCCCCCCCCCTTCCCCCCCGCTTTTTTTGGGGGGGGGGGGTTCACGGAACCAGCCTCTCTACTTCTAGGAGTAGGGGAAAGCTTTAAAGTTTAATATTTCCCTTCCTTAAACAATATTTGAGCACCAAGAGTATTGACATTTGCATATCTTTGAATTTGCAGAATTAAGATGCCAAAGACCTATGTCGTTCACCTTGGTAACAGCAAAGAACTTATGGATGTTGCTGAAGATAATGTGGCCAAAAGGGTCTTGAGGGAGCATGTTAGGGAGTCCCTTGGAGTGCGGAATGACGACATACTATTTGCTGCAATCAATAGTAACACTTCCGCTTTAATGTGATTATTTACTTGTTTCCCTTTACTCTGCTGCCTGCTAGTTTGTTCTCATACGTACATCATTTCAAGGCCATGTTTGCAACCATAAGCTAGGTTATTGAAGAAGCACCATTTGGTTAACCATAACTCATAAGATAGCTTTTTGAAATGATACTTCAAGTAGCGTTTCAACAGTTACAGGGGTTTTTTTCAATTACTTTTCAACATGCCCTTCTAGGTCACTTACATTGTCATCTAGCTTTTCGGAAATGGGTGATCCTGAAGCCTAGACAAATCCCATGGCAAGTCATGACTATAGGTTTCGCCCACACTATTTCACATCATTCTTTTTCTTCTTCTAACGATCGTGAAAAAAATGAGTAGATGTTACATTGTGCTTACATTTTTTATGTAATGTGATATACGTACAATATATGGCATATGAAAAATATGGTGACATACTTTTTGACCGGTTGCAAGCTCCGCCATTGATACCCCATTGGTCGTCTTCAATTTTTGTAGTCCAATGAACAAAGAGAAATAAATATGTATAAAGAATGTAGAATACATTTTAAAATCTTTTATTTTAGATTTTACATTTAAATTTAAATATATTAGAATATGGAAAAAATATATTTTCATATCTTTATCGTTTCTCATTTCTTTTCTTTGGTAAGTATTGCGGAATATCTTTTATTGTATTTTAAAATTTAAGATATGTCGTAATACTTTCCGAATAAATCCAGAGAAAAGAAATTGGAAATGATAAAGATAAGAAAATATATTTTATCCGCATTCTTAATATATTTAAATTTAAATGTAAAAATTAAAATAAAAGATTTTAAAATATTCTTTACATTCTTTAATATATATATATATATATATATATATATAATTTCTATATGTATCATTCGACTACAAGAATTGAAGACGGCCAGTCAGGTGTTGATGGCGGAGCTTGCAACTGATCAAAAGGTATTCCATCAGATATTCATATATTAGGGGGTGTTTGGGATTGCTTATAAAAGCTGTTTTTTAACTTATTTCAGTTTGACACCGGTGATAAGCTGTTTTCTAGTGTTTGGATAAGAAAAAAAACTGTTTATACCGGTGTCAAACCGGTAATAAGCTGTTTTTGATAAGTTAATCCTTCCTGACTTATGAAAAACTGTTTATTACCAGTTTACAATTTTAACCCTGTTTTATTTAACTCCAGTTTGATACCACATAAGTTAATAAGCACTTTTACAAAAAAGCATAAGTTGTTTTAAATAAGCAATCCCAAACACCCCCTTAGTATATCACATTATATTTAAAATGTAATCATAATATAACATCTACTTGTATTTTTTCACGATCACTAAAAGAAGAAAAATGATGATATGAATTAAAATAATCAACTATAAAAACGTTTACATGGCTAACCAACATAAAAGTGGTGAAAGATAGACATTTGGCTGTTTATACTGTTTTTCAATATACAAAATCCCTTCATTTTGCTATTTTTTTAAAGTTAAACTGCTACAATTCGGCAAAAACATCCACATCTTTACATGCCATGCTACACTACGGATTATGGCTGGCCTTTTGCAATACCTCCTTTAGAACAGCAGCAATTCTTTCTGCCATATGTCGTTCTTGAAACATTTGTTTGACCCTCTCGTACCCCCTCTTTCCCATTGTTAGTCTCTAATCCCATGGCAAGTCATGACTGTAGGCTTCTGATACACACTAGGAAAAATAGGATTAAAGAAATCAAATGGTTTAATAGAAGATACCTAGAATGGTATAGAATTGCTGGTTTCTAGAGGCCAGTACTCTCCCAAGGCTATCGCCTAAACTGAACACACAAATCAAAATGAATCCCCCTTATTTATACTTAATACCACCGACTTACTACCCATGCATTGCCCACTTGTACTTTCCTACAACAGCCTATCAATCTAGACCCTTTGACCAAACACCACTATTGACTATTTGACTATTTAACTCGGGGTATAACAGCTTCACCCAGACTAATCCCATGGCAAGTTTACGGTACCCACAACCATGACGTAAATCTCCGGTGGCCACAAGCGCATTTGTAGATGGCAGGATTCGAACCCAGGTTGATTTTATCATCCACTTGTCTGTATCCACCATGCTAACCCCCTTGTGGAGTTGTGGTTTTGTCATCTAGCTTATCAGCTAGTTTTTACCAAGCATGACTAGTTTGTCAGTTAGCTCATTAGATATATAGTGTGAAGTGGCATAAACCCCTAATTGTGGTGGCTGTTACCGATATTTGTTATTTTTATTTTGTTTAGCTTGCCAAAATATTGGCAAGTATGTCAAACACTTGTTGTCGATTCGCAGACAGTCAAACATTTGGTAAGCAAAGTTAGTCCTACATTGAATTTGCTTAGGTTTTTCCTTCAGCTAGTTGTATATGACAGACTTCTCAGCAATTACTCCCTCCTTCGTGAAATAAATGTCCATAATTAAAAAGGCACACAGTTTTAGAAGTGTGTAATTATTATTCTTGTTTATTATTAAATGACAGTTTTACCCTTTATAATAGAGGGGGTAGTGAATTTTTCATCTCATAATTAAGGATAGAATTGGAAAGTGTACTTATTTGGGAGCAAACTAAAATAGAAATGTGGACACTTATATTGGGACTGAAGGAGTATATTTTGTTGATAAAAGATAATTTCTTGTGATAAATAATAATGTTGTGCAGGTGTTTCACGGGGAAAAGGTCAAGACTTATTTCTACGCTCGTTTTATGAGAGCTTAGAATTGATCCAAGAAAAGAAGCTGCAAGTGCCGTCAATACATGCAGTGATCGTGGGGAGTGATATGAGTGTGCAGACGAAATTTGAAACAGAACTTCGGGATTTTGTAGCACAGAAGAAAATCCAACATCGAGTTCATTTTGTAAATAAAACTCTTACCGTAGCCCCATATCTAGCAGCAATTGATGTTTTAGTCCAGAATTCTCAGGTATGTAGATGTGAACCACTCACTCTAGATCACTTCTTTCTAAAAGATTACTATAAAATTCATACCGTTTGTGATATATTGGTTTTGGTATTGCTACAAAATGAAGTCAACAGTTGACTTTGAGTTTGAAATGTGTTATTCCTTCCTTTCCAAACCAAGTGTCCACATTTCTATTTTAGTTTCTCCTGAAATAGGCATCTGGTTTCAAAAGTGCCTACTTTCCTATTCTATAGTTATAATTTAAGATGTAGAAATTCATTACACCCTCTATTACTAAGGGTACGAATGTCATTTAGTTAATTAAAAAGTGTGTAATTTCATATTTCTAAGACAATGTCGTTTCATTGTGGACATATAATGTGGGACAGAGGGAGTACTTGTTAACTTGAAAGTTGACAAGAATTTGAGAAAAATGGGTAACTGCGTAATAGTAATAGATTGGAAAATCTATTAGTTTGAAATTGAGACATACTAGGTTTGGATATAAAAACCAAAACCAAATACAACTAGTAGGTCCCACTTGGAAGTAAATTATAGAGTTTGGATGTCTAGAATCAAATTGGACTCTAGTAGAAGTTTAGATTGTTTTTGTTTTATGTTCAATCAAATGTGTGTGTAGGGGAGAGGAGAATGCTTTGGAAGGATATCAATTGAAGCTATGGCCTTCCAGCTTCCTGTATTGGTAAGCATTTGTATTTCTATGGAACTTTTAAGCTCTATTAATGATGCCAATCTACATTTACATTCATGGAACATAGTTCCTTAACGCCCCTTTCCCTTATATATAATTATATGTATATGTATGCATACACACACACACACATATATCGGTTGAGTTTCGGTGAGAAGGGAAGTTATGATAAGCGTAAAACGAGATCTCCACCCTTGCATCAATCCTAATTGAATGTCAACACTAGTGAGGTGCACCAAGATACACCAGATCAATTCCCATCTAAAGCGCAATTCATGGGTACGCATGAGATTAAAAGTGATGAAAAGTTCAAATCTCTTCTTACGCTTCTCACCATAGCTTCCCTTCTCAAACAATCCTCCGCCCATATATATATATATATATATATATATATATATATATATATATATACATAGAGGAGCAATCAAATGAAAACCACTCCAATTTGTAAAAACCGTAAAAACTACTCTCATCCGTCGTTAATTTTATGAAAAATTTTCATGAAATTGTTAATCTTGTGAAATTGTTTCATATAATACTTTTTTTGATGAATTTGTTTCATATGTGGTTATGAAATTGTTTCATATACTACTTAATGAAATTTTAATAAAACTGTTTCATGTATTTCTCTAAAATTAAAATAACGAAGATGATAATATCCATGATTAACACCCTCCACAATAAAAATGGTTAATCAACCTCTCATAATTACAAAAAAATGAATGAAATGAAAACTTATGATTGGTTGAATGAGGTTTTCACGGTTTTTACAAATTGAATAGTTTTTATTTGAACCCACCCCTATATATATATATATATATATATATATATATATATATAGGCAGGTTTAGGGGAAACCCACAAAAAAATAGAAAACTGAGCAACACTCTAATAACCATTGATTTGTATAGTGTGCATATGTGCATAAAAGTAATTTGCCAGTATGCACATATGCATACGGTACAAATGAATAGTAGTTATTAATGTGTTGTTCAGTTTTTCCATTTCTTTGGTTTCCCCTTGAATTTGAGTCTATATATGCCTCTATATAGGGGGATGATCATGTGAAAACCAAAAAAAGGTTACAAACCCGTAAGAATCAATCTCAATTTATCGTTTCACATGAATTTTTTTCATCTAAGACTAGGATTTAAGGCATTGTTTCACATATATTTATTCCACAACATGAAACTTTTTTATGTGTACTTTTTGTTTCTCAATATGAAACAACGCTGGTTTTGCTTGTGGGAAGTAATTCAAGGGTTTAAATTGGCAGGGAACATCAGCAGGAGGAACTGCAGAAATAGTGGTGAACGAGTCGACAGGGTTTCTGCATCCAGCAGGAAAAGAAGGGGTGGGTCCGCTCGCGAGAAACATGGTGAAACTTGCGACACACGTGGAGAAGAGGCTAACGATGGGAAAGAGGGGGTACGAGAGGGTGAAACAAATGTTTCTAGAACGACATATGGCGGATAGAATTGCTGCTGTTCTAAAGGAGATATTGCAAAAAGGCCACCAATGATAAAAGGAATGGATTTCGTAATTTGTATATTCAAGAACAGTATAAATAGGCAAATTGTTTGTTGTCTATTTTTCACCACTTTCATGTTAGTTAGCCATGCAAACGTTTTAATAGTTGATTATTTTTTGGTTTTGTTGATGATAAATTGAATGAAAATGCAACTTGTAATTTTGATACCGTTATTTTGGTACATCAGATGTGACATCTTCGACATTTAGGCATGTAGTTTTTTTTTAAAATGTAATAAAAAAAATGTGCATCTTTTTCCTGTTTTGGAATAAGAAATTTGAATGCAATCCTATATTTTGCTTTCTGCTTTTAATCATAATCATTTGTAGCTGCACTATATTTCCTTGTGGCAATCCTGTGTTTTTCAAATGCCAAATTCATTCCTAGTTTCATAACATGTCTTTAGTTATTGATTAGGGATAGTTTTGTACTTTTTAATTAATTTTCTTTTATTATTAATCAGCTCCATATTTTTAATTATAAATGTTATTAATATTCACCCGATATTTCTTATATTCAACGATTTGTTAATGGCATGATAATCGGGTTTTTGATAAGCTTCCATATAGATTTTGAGGTATATTAGACCATCAGTAACTTCAAACTGTTTCCTAATCCCGCTTGACTATAAAGGTCAAAAGTATCAGGAGGTTCCAGGTTCAAATCCAAAAAGAAATAAAAATCCTCTTGTAGCCACGGAGGTTCAAATGCGATGACTCCGGGCTATCTGCAAAGCAGGTGGTCGTCCTGGGATTAGTCGGCTCGCATAGCGGGTTGGATATCCAGGTTAATAAAAAAAAAAAGGATAAACATAGAGAGATACACTAATAAACTATTATATTAATAACATATATTTTGAATGCTTTACAAATAAATCCAAAGAAAATAAATTAAAAAACATAAAGATACGAAAATATTCTTTTCGATATTGTTAAATATATTTAAATTTGAATGTAAAAACTAAAACATAAATAAATATATTAATATACATTTAATTTCTTTACATTATCATTCAACTATAAGAATTAAATTAAAAGATTTTAAATATATTCTACCTTCTTTAGAAAGAGAGTCGTGTCAAGAAGAAAACCTTTTAAAAGTGAAAAACTGTGAAACATCATTATAGCCGTTTATTTAGACGATATGTACATGTGTATACAATTAATTGAAGTTGTTTTTTGATTTTTATGCACGTCTGTATGTTATAAATTACTAGTATGCACACGTGCATATCGTCCAGATGAACGGTTATCAGTGTATTCCTCAGTTTTCATTTTTTTTAAGTTTCATCTAAACCTGACTCTATATACATAAACACAGATATATTTAATCTCTCTATGTAACATTCGACTACAAGATTTAAAGACGACCAGTTAGATGTTAATTGCGTAGCTTGTAACTGATCAAAAGATATTCTAACATATTTTTATATATTATGTAATATACTCCTAAAATATAATATATAAAAATAAGCATAAATAAACTATTATATGTCTTTAAATAAAAGATATTTCGTTCCGAATAAAACAAATTAAAAACTATAAATATATAAAAATATGTTTAAATCTAAATGTAAAATCTAGAACTAAAATAAAAGATTTCAAAATATTCTCTACATTTTTTATATAAATGTATATATATATATATATATATATATATATATATATAATTTCTCTACGTCAGTTCAACTACAAGAATTAAAGACGACAAGCCCAGCGTCAATGGTGGAGTCTACGACAAATCAAAAGGTATTCCACCATATTTTTATTTCCTAGGAAACAATCCAACTATTCGTTCTTAATTTTCAAAACCCGTAATCATATTTTTGAAGCGGGGGTATAAGATTTACGCATATATATATTTTTATTTTTATATAATCATGATCTTGAAGTTAACAGTCAGATAAACCCGCACAGACTTGAACTGGCAAACCCCTTTCCCAGTTGGATTACCCTTTTGAGTTACAAAACACAAAATCATGCATTTTCTTTGTTACGTTTGATGTATGTTGGATGTTGTCAATCGATCTGCAGATGTATACGTTTAAAGTGATTGTAAAGTGTTGTCGAGGATGTTTCAGAAGAATTAGAAAATCCGTAAAAACATATGTTCACAAGGAGAAGAAACACAAGTCATGTTGCAAGTGCGGAAAAGAAAATAAACCCGACATGAAAATTTTTACGACACATACAGCTGAAGCTTATATGAAGAAGGAAGTCGATAAAAGAATCTGTCGAGATATATTGTGTACGACTCACTATGAAAGACCAATCATCTTTCCATCATCGTCGACCAACAATCCACCGTTACCACCACCGTTTTACGACCAACGAAGGTTGATGTATCCTCCATCGACACCACCGTTGTGGTATGGTTATCCTAGCGGGGGAATATACTAAGTCGAAAGCTGATCGATTAACGGAAGTTTTAATAAAAATCAGTTGATTATTAATATATCAAAATTGTTGGGATCCTACAAACGTTGCCTCCTAATTTTGTTTTCATGGATGGTTCATTGTTTTGGTTTTGATTAATTACATGTTTGTTTAGTGATATAAATTGAACAACAAATAGGTAATTACATGTTTAAGTGAATGTCTGAATAGAATGGTTATTGTATTATACATGTATATATATGTGTTACAAAATTTGCATAACATGTTTCAGTAATATGATATATATACTATATTATAAAACATTTGACAAAAACTCTTAAAAACCACTTTTTATGTATAAAGTACTGTTTATTAATGCATGTTACTTAAAACTCAAGATTACAAGTAGATTGTACGTAGGCATAACTTATTAAAGCTCCATATTTGAATTCGTGTAACTAACTGCAGATAAACATTATCAAATACAAGATAAACATCTTATTTTAAATATAAAAAATCTAAAATATAATTAGAATAATCATTGAGTTCTAACAGAATACTTAATTATTATCTTTATAAAATATTATTTTATTAAACCAAAAATAAATTATTTCGTCATTAAAATTAAATTAAATTATAATAAAAAAATAAATCAAAAAAATTACATAAAAAATAGAACTTTAAAATAGTTGATTTGATATTAACATTGATTATTTTTTTTTCAAACTTTTTTGATATTTTCAAATTTATATTTTATTCAAAAATAAAATCATTATTGTTTTCTTAAAAACACATAAAATCGTATTATAAAATCGACAGAAATAAAAAATAGGGCAAAATGCACAAAATAGCAATCTACTTTCATAAATTTCTTTATTATAGCATTGTACTTTYAGTTTTTCTTATTACAGCAATGTACTTTCAAACTATTTTTTATTAGAACATTGTGTTTTGAAAATTTTCTCATTATAGCATTGAGTAACCTTTTGATTTAAATTTAGCCATTATACTAGGTTTCCATGCCACCTCATTGTCCATGTAGGCTGTCCACATGTATTATAGTGATGTAACTTTCTTACTACATCATGTACTTTCAAAATTATTTTTATTATAGCATCTACTAGTTCTTATTAAACACTGTATTTTAATTTTAATATTTAGATATTTTACATGTTATTTAATAAATGTATTAAATAATTTAAAAAAATTATAAATTATTCATTAATATACCAATATCAATAAAACTAGTAGAAGACAACTTATCTCGCTAATATTTTTCAAAAAATATGTGTTTTTTAAAAAAAGAAAAATAATTTTACCAAAAAATATTATCTTTTAAAGAATATATTATCTATACTATTTTATTAAGCAAATTTAACAAAAATCTTAAAATTTTAAATGACCAAGATACCCTTTATACTACTCTTACTTCATTTTTTTACTTTTTCACTTTTTCACTCCCTCCTCTCCTCACATAAACTCATCCTCTCAAACCAGATTTTTTAAATTATAATTTTAAATTTATACTTTATACCCCTATAATTAGTTAATTAATTTACTTTACGTCATTTACTTTTAAATATTTCATTTTAAACCTTTATCGAGTTAACATACATAATCGTATATCAATTAAAACATGTTTAAAAAATACATTTTTATTTTAACAAGTTACACCATTATAATCGTCTCACTAATACCTTCGAAATGAGTCCAATATTGAATAATTTTTTACTTAATTATATTATTATATATTATATATACTGTGAAAAAATATTTTTAATATTACGATTTATACTTTTATAGTTATTTATTTATATATATACTATATATTTTGGGATTAGTCTGTCCAAATTGCAATATATAATATGTTCTGAATTAATATGTTCTTGGGTTTTTTGAAATATATATATATATACATGTATTAATTCAACCTTAATTTGAGTTTCTGGACAAGAAAGATGGTAAGCAGTTGAAATTTCATTCTAAAACACATCTTTTTTTGTCTTTTCATGCCTTATGATCTGTCAAATTTGTAGTTTTCTTTATTGGTTTTGAGTGTATCTTAAAACTCAAGTTTCTTGGTTCTTTGATCTTGGTGTAAGTCGAACACATTTGTGGAGTCGTTTAAATATGTTGGATTTTAAATATATTGGATTTTAAACTGTCATACAATTTTTCCATCGATAGTTTGTAATTGAAACCATAACTCTTATTTATTCAAATTGTATTAATATGTAAAGACCAACTGTAACATATATCATCATTAAATCTTATCTTATAAAACCAGTGGAACTTCAAAATCGTTAAAATTCATGGCTCCCGCCGCATTGCGCGGGTACACAACTAGTATTTGTTCAAAAACTTTTTACTTGACGTTTAAATATATTAAATTAATTATATTTTTTTGTAGATAACAATTTATTTCGTTAATATTTAAAAAAAACTTTAAAAGATATGTATTTATTTGAAGAACATAAAATAGGAAAAGTTATATTTTTTACAAGCAAAATATATCTCGAAAATAATGTTTAATGTTTATTTAATAAATATCTCTAAGAATATTTAATTTGCATGCAACTTAATAAGAAAAAAATAAAAAATAAATAATGTTTTTTTAGATTATAGCAATGAAAAATGAAAATTACTAATAATAATTTGAAATAGATTTTTATTTTAATTTTAATTAAATCATCAAAATGATGTGTCATTCACATCATCGTCTCATTAAAGCCACACAAGCAAAAAAAATCAAAGGATTAACCGGTTTAAAAGGTAACAGGTTACCCATTGCTATTA